GTGTATGGGTGGGTTCCCTCAGCCTTGTTGCGCCCTCTCGCAATCTGGGACTCCTCTGGGGATGTTGGAGAGCTGGTTCTGGTTTCGGCAATGACTGGGAATGACTGGTCACTATGACACTCAATGCAGGAGCTGCCCCTGCTGGGCAGTGCGCTCCCACAGGTTGAGCTCTGCTCAGCCACAAGACAGGCTGAGGGCTGCCAGCATAGAGGTGGTGGCAGGAGCCTCTCCTGCCTCCTCAGCAGTGCTAAGGATGTCTGACTGCAGCTTAGGCCTGCTCCCCACTGGCAAGTGGACATCCCCTGAGGGCTTCTAGGCTTCCAGAGGGATGTCTGCCTGTCAGCTTAGGCCCAATCCCTGGGGGAACAGGCCTAAGACAGCAGGTGGACATCTCCCGAGGGGTCTAAGGCTGGGCTGAGGGAGGGCACAGGCTGGGCTGAGGGACCCTCCCTCCTCGAGTGCACAAATTTTTGTGCACTGGGCCTCTAGTTTGACTATAATAAAATATATGGTAAGGTATTAAATTCTGTAATAAGTAAAATGCCATATGTTTACTAAACATAGTTTTCTGAAATCTAAAAACTGGTAGATTTTTTATATTTTTTATTATAGTTAAAATACAATCTTAAATTAGATTCAGATATATCACATAATGATAAACATTTATATACCTTTAAAGTAAACACCTATCATTGTACAAAGTTATTCTCATATTATTGGCATTCCCTATGTTATATGTGTTATAACACACTCATGACTTATTTTTTGTAGTTCTTAATTCCTTTCACCTTTTTCACCCATCCACCACCAACTTCCCCTCAGGTAACCACCAGTTTGTTTTCTGTATCTACTATCACTAAACCGATGAACAAAAAGCACTGGCAAGGATATAGAGAAAAGGGAACCCTAGTGCATTGTTGATCACACTGCAGACTTATGCAGCCACTGTAGAAAAGAGTATGGAGTTTCCTCCAAAAATTAAAAATGGAACTGCCTTTTGATATAGTAATCCCACTTCTGGGACTATATCCTAAGAATCCCAAAACACCAAGCAGAAAGAATATATGCACCCCTATGATTATTGCAGCATTTTTTTACAATAGCCAAGATCTGGAAACAGCCCAAGTGTCATCAGCAGATGAGTGGATAATAAAGCTGTGGTACATTTACACAATGGAATGCTACATGGCTATAAAAAAGAAGGAACTCTTACTCTTTCCAATAGCATGGACGAACCTGGAGAGTATTATGCTAGACAAAATAAACCAGTCAGAGAAAGACAAATACCATCTGGAATCTAATGAAAAAAATAAACTGACAAACAAAATGGAACCAGAATCATAGATACATGGAACAGTCTGGTTGGTGCCTGTGAAAAGTGGGGGAGGGTGACTGGATAAAGAAGGTGAAGGTATTAGCTAAATAATATATATGCACACTCCATGGACACAAACAACAAGGTGATGAAGGCCAAGGAACGGGGAGGCACAGATGGGTGGAGGTGGGCAAAGTGAGGGAGTGTAGGGGACCTGCAATTATGTGAACATTAACATTTTTTAAATAAATATTACTAAACTGAAGAAAAAAAGAAATCAGAACACCAAAATCCTAATTCATATCCTATAACAGCTAGACAAACACAACTTTTTAAATGATAATCATGAATTATTAGAACTCTATTCTCACCTGACATCTCACAAATTTTAAATTAAAATTCTATATTTTCTTTTATATTAAAAAGATAGATAATAAATTAAAGTTCTAAGCAGTATTAATTTTATATTATCAGAATTTTTTAAAATAGCACTACTTACCATAAGTACACCATATGACCACCAATCAGCACTCTGGGAATGACCTCTCCTATTTACTACTTCAGGAGCCATATACTCCACCGTACCACAAAATGAGTAGGCCTTTTTTTCTTGATCTACTGATTCTTTGCTGAGTCCAAAATCTGTAATAACATTGTTACACAAAAAATATATCTGAAGATCTTCAGAAAATAGAAAATACCAAAAGAAACAAAATTATGTATTTAAACCTTAAAATTATTCATGGATGGATTGTAATTACTCTTAAGCTATGATACAAATAATGAAAAATAGGTTGTATTTAATAATAAGAGCATTTAAAGATTTCCAGTTACATATCATCTCAAAACATATTTTCATGTCTATACTTGAATATCATTCAACAATTTTGAGACAACAATAATTAAACCAAAGCTGTCATAGTGTTTAAAATGTAAGACAAAAAAAGAGGTAATAACTTAAACTTTTTAAAATATTGAAAAAGTTTATTTTGCTTTGGCTTTGTTGTTTTTCCATTTTTGTTTAATGCCTTCAAAGAACTAAAGGTATCAATACATAAAAAATAATCTCATTTCTATGTATTAGCAATGAAAAATTAGAAGTTGAAATTTTAAAAATACCATTTATAATACTGCCAAAAAACCAAAACCAAACCAAACAAAAACACACCCTTGAAATTCATGGGTCTAAATATACAAAGTATATGCAAATCTGTACAATGAAAATTTGAAACATTGATGAAAGAAAACAAAGTAGATGTAAGTATATGGAAAGATATACTATGTGTATGGTTTGGAAGAATCAATTCTGTTAAAGATGTCAATTCCCCCAAAACTGATCTAAAGATTCAATTAAACTTTAATAAAATTCTTAGCAAGATTTATTTTTTAGAAATCAACAAGTTGAATTTAAAATTTATATTAAAAGATAATAAAATAGCCAAACAATTTTGAAAAAGAATAACAAATTCAAAGGACTTACATTAACTAGCTTCCGTACTTATTATAAAACTACAGTAATCATGACAGTGTGGTAATGAAGAAAAGCTAGACATGTAGATATAAATAAATGAACAGGACAGCATCCAAGAATAGACTGACACATACAGTCAGCTCTGCTATAATGTTTGTTTTATAAATGCAAATTTTATCCAATGGAATTGATACCTTAGGAATCAATTTGAGGATAACACAATTTGAATCTCAAATTTCATGTGCAATTTTGTTTGCAAGAAGCCCTAGATAAAACACTAAAAACTGCACCTAGATGATCCAAGCCATGTAGAAATACATACATACACACACCACAACATCTACCAGCGATTTCAGCTCATCATGTGTGTTATGAGCCATTCTGTTGACCTGTAGTGCTACACTTTCCTCTCAATTCCAGATAATCTACCCTCCACTACTTTATAATAATGTACAAACTACAAACTTTCTTACATTAATTCTACAAGCAAATTTAAGGATTTTTCAAGTTAAGGTAGCATGTTTATTGTAGTATTTATGTAACCTTAATAATTTAGAACATGTAAAACAATGCTATCATTTTTATTCATTTCCTATATTTCTCAAATGTGTCACTGGTTATTTAGATTACTGCTAAGCCTCTAACCCCATTTTTGTCATAAGCTTTATTCTTTTTATTATGCACTAATGCATAATGCAATAATTTTTAAGATCACAGGTGTTGCATTATAATGAAACTGGCTATATATTGTGAATTGATTTCTGACAAAGGCTTAAAAGCAATTCCATGAAGAAATGTCAGTCTTTTCAACGAATGGTGCCAGAACAATAGGATATTGATATAAAAATATATCCTCAAACTATACATAAACATTAATTCAAAATGAATCACGGAATTAATGTGAAATGTAAAACTTAAAGTTGTAAAATTTCCAGAAGTAATATAAGAGAAAATATTTGTGATCTTGGATTCGGAAAATATTTCTTAGATACATCATCAAGAGTATAATTTATAAAAGAAAAATGTTGAAAACTGAACTTCATGGAAATAAAAAACTGATTTTCAAAAGTTACCATTCAGTAAGTGTAAAAGAAGCTATACATTGAGAGAAAACATTTTCAAATCACATATCTGATAAATGACTTGTACTTCAGGGTATATTAAAACACTCAGAAATTCAATAATAAGAAAACAATTTTTTAAATGGAAGAAAGATCTGAACAGACACATATACAAAGACATAAATACATAAGAAGATGGTCAATATCATTAGTTATTAAGGAAATGCAAGTTAAAACCACAATGAGATACTACTACATGCCCATTAGTAGAGCTAAAATAAAAAATGCTGGCAGTAACAATAATGGGTATATACAAAGCAACTGGAGCTACACTGCTAATGGGTATGCAAAATGGTACAGACACATTGGAAAACATTTTGGAGGTTTCTCATTAAGGGAAACTTAAACTTACCACATGACGAAGCAACCCACTTCTTTGGTATTTACTCAAGTGAAATAAATGCTAATGTTCACGTAAAACCTGTACATAAATATTTATGGTGGCTTTATCCCTTACTAATGAATTCAACAAGAAATAACCCAAATGCCCCTTGATTGGAGATCAAACAAACCATAGCATCATTATAAAATAGAACACCACTCAGCAATTTTTAAAAAGTTATTGATACATGCAAAAATAAGGATGAATCTCAAATTTACTACACGAAGTAAATGAAGCCAAACTCAAAAGATTGTAAATGCTAAAGTTTATTTACATTGTGGAAAAGGCAAGCATAGGGCCAGAAAGCAGATTGGTCATTGTCTATGGGTAAAGAGAGGACTATATAATAAAAGGCTAATATGCAAGCCAACAGAACTGTGGAACGACCGGTCACTATGATGCGCATTGACCACCAGGGGGAAGATGCTGAATGCAGGAGCTGCCCCCTGGTGGTCAGTGCACTCCCACAGAGGGAGCGCTGCTCAGCCAGAAGCCAGGCTCACGGCTGGCGAGTGCAGCGGCAGTGGCGGGAGCCTTTCCTGCCTCCATAGAAGTGCTAAGGATGTCCGACTGATGGCTTAGGCCTGCTCCCCAGGCCTAAGCCGGCAGTCTGACATCCCCTGAGGGTTCCCAGACTGTGAGAGGGAGAAGGCTGGGCTGAGGGACCGTCCCCCCGCCTCCCATGCACTGGGCCTCTAGTTAACTTATAATGGGGAAATTTGGAAGGGAGTAATGGAACTTTTAATATCTTGATGATGGTGATGGTTTTAAGACTGTATGCATTTGTCAAAGCTTGCAAAACTATATGTGAAAGAGTAATTTTTCTTAAACTCTGTATTTTGAGACTACTACAAATTTATTGCAGTTATATGGAATACTACAGAGATCCTGTTTACCCTTCACCCAGTTTCTCCCATGGTGACATCTTATAAAAACTATATTATAATATCACAATATTGACAATGATGCTAATAAGATGCAGAATAATTCCATCACCATAAGGATCCAAAGAGTAAGTTTTACTTTGTGTAGGTTATATCTTTATTCTATAAGTAAAGAAAGCTATAAGCCCAAATTGTTTTATAAATAAAATATCAACATTAATACTTAATTTTCAAGGTCCTAGAAAACTGATTTTCTAATCATGCTCAATATTTTCATTGAAGTGAAATAAGGCAGTCAGTGAAAGATAAATACCATATGATCTCACTCATTTGTGGAATATAAAGAACATTATAAACTGATGAACAAAAAATAGATACAGAGGCAAAGAAGCATCGAACAGACTGTCAAACTATAGCAGGAAGGCAGGGGAGGGTTGGTGGGGCGGTAAGAGATCAACCAAAGTGCTGGGAGCCAGTCCATCCTTGCTGTTTCAAGGGACCTGGCATAGACTTGTATGCATGTATATAAGCATAACCAATGGACGCAAGATACTGGGTGAGGGCATGTGCCTGGGGGTAGGCAAGGTCAATGGGGAAAAAGGAGCTATATGTACTACTATTTGTAATACTTTAAAAATAAAATAAAATTTAAAAAAAAGGTTAAGAAAAGAAAAGAAAAATAACTATTTTTGTATAATAACTAAATATATTATGATATTCAGTATATTTAAAAATAATTTCAATGTCCTACTACGTTATTTCTCTATATTTTGAGACTTTAAACTTTACACAACCAATTTAAAATGTAAATGTAATAAAAGTTCATCTTCAAGTTCATTTCAGCTGAATATGACAACCCTGTAGAGAAGAACATTGACATTGTTGGACATCCCAGAGAGAAGAAAGGGAAGATAATTTTCTTATCCTTGATCACTTTTCAGAGATTCATGCCACTTCTTAGAGGTCTTTTGTGGTACTATTTCTGAAAAAAATATTTAACACTAGAATTTGCTCAGCAATGAACTGAACATTTATTTTACAATATTACGGGTTAGCTACAAGATTTTAAATATATATAATAATCAGTGGTTTTTCAAAGTCACTAATTTGAAATAAAAATAAAATGTAGAAAACAGCTAAATCAAGGTTTCTTTGGGTGGTGGGGGCCATGAGGAAGTATATTTGTGCAACCATAAATGACTGTTTAGACTTTAAATTTTAAAAGCACACCCAGAACAAAACAATTTAATGAGTATGTATTATTAGTAAAGGTAATCTCAGTGATTAATTTGCAAATAACAATAAAAATACTTAAAATTATTTTCTTACATATACATTTTCTCTTAAACATTCAGCTAAAGCACAATGTGATTTAAATTTCTGACACTGTATAGATTCTTTTGAAGCATCCATCTTATATAAAAACTGCTGTTTGAAATTTTAACCTGACAGTATGGCTTCTGTAAATGCTTGCTTGCTTAAATAATAAGGAAAATGAGACTACTCCCATTCCAGAGAGGCCATAAACTATGCCTCAGACAGAGTTGTCAGTGCTGACACTAGGCCAGGCCTTGATATATGGTCTCATGGCCCCTTCCCAGTATGGAGGCCTTCTTTTTCAGAAGGCCTGGAAGTCTCATTCCAAATTTGGTATACAAAGGACTGGAAAAAGTATAAGTAAAGAGAGTTTCCTCCATGTTGAGGAGCCAGAATTTGAAAGACACATCTTTCTCTGGCCCTGCACAGAATTTAATAATAAAATGTAACTCCCTTTCTCTAAGCTT